ACAACAGCACATATATTGGGTGGTGCATGTATGGGAAAATCTGCTTCAGATGGTGTAATAGACAAAGACAACAAAGTATTTAACTATCAAAATATGTTGGTGTGCGATGGAGCAATGATTTCTGCCAATCCAGGTGTTAACCCAAGCTTGAGCATTACAGCCATTAGCGAACGAGCCATGAGCAAAATACCCAAGAAAGCATAAACTATAATTTAATTGGAAAATAATTGGGTTGCGTAACTAGTAATACAGTAGTATGTTTTTTTTAAATTCTCAAAATTAATTAGATATTATATACTGTAGAGTGCACCGCCTATTACGTTTTTGTTTGCGCCTGTTACGCTATGCAGGCAATTGGGTATGTCTAGTATTCTCAACAATCCAAAAAACGCTATGGACAATGCTTCTTTATAAGCTATGGTTTGTTGGTCTGTTTGCACAATTTCGCAATTCGAATGGTACTGTATTCTTTCTATCAAAAATGAATTGAATGCACCACCTCCTGTTATCATTAGTTTTTGGTTTTTATCTTCGGCGTATTGCCCTATTGTTGCTGCAATTTGCATGGCTATATGCTCTACACTTGTTGCTAATTTATCTTCCACACATACATCAGATTGTTCTACAGCTTGTATCCAATATTGTACAATATGCTCTGTGCCTAAAGATTTGGGTGCTTGTTGCGATAGGAAATCTATCTGGTTGAGTTGCGATAGTAATATATTGCAAATCTTTCCTTGTTTGGCAAGGCAACCATCATGGTCATATACATACCCTTTTTTTGATGCTAAAAAATTAAGTAGGGTATTGCCTGCACAAATATCGAATGCTATAATTTGTTTGTCTACCTGATGGAAAGAGATATTGCAAATGCCACCAATATTTAGAAAAACGGTAGCAGATGGAAAAAGATATTGCTCTGCAATGGGAACAATAGGTGCACCTTGTCCGCCTTGTGCTACATCTGCGGTGCGTAGGTCTGCCACTGTAGCTATTTGTGTGTGCTGTGCCAGCGTAGCGCCACAGCCAATTTGTAAGGTAAAATTCAATTGAGGTTGATGAAAAACGGTTTGTCCGTGCGAGCAAATAAAGTCTATATTTGTAATATTGTATTGTTGTATAAATTGATTTACAGCTTTTGCAAAATAGGCACCTAAAGAAGTGTGCAGTTGTGCCAATTGGAATCCTGAAAGCTGATGGGCATTGCTGAGTTTTGTTCTAAACTCTGTATCATATTCTATGCAAGTAGTCTGTAGTATCTGGTAGCTAAAGTCTTGCTCTTTTCTTTGAAATTGCACACAGCAAATATCTAAACCATCTAATGAGCTTCCACTCATTAAGCCAATAGCTATGTACGTGTCTTGCATTTTTTTATTTTTTATGATGATATAAATAAGCTGCCATCACGCTTGCTATTTTTAATTCATCAACAGGAATAGCATTGGGTTTGTAATATTTTTCAACAAATTTAGTATCAAAATTGCCAGAAATAAATGCTGGATGTTGCAATACAAATTTTCCAAAACCTAATGTTGTTTTCACACCTTCAATATGGTAATTGTCAATTGCCCAAATGGTTTTTTCTATGGCAGCATCTCTGTTGGCAGCATGCACTACTAATTTGGCAATCATTGGATCGTAGTAGATTGGAATTTCCATGCCTTCGTCAAAGCCATCATCTACTCTAATGCCATCGCCTTTAGGAATTTGATAAGTGGACAGTGTGCCTATATCAGGCAAAAAATCATTTTTTGGGTCTTCTGCATAAACACGAATTTCAATTGCATGACCGTTGATGCTTAAATCTTCTTGTGCAAAACTCAAAGGTTTTCCTTGTGCAATGAGAATTTGTTCTCTTACTAAATCTTTTCCTGTAATCATCTCTGTTACTGGATGTTCTACTTGCAATCTAGTATTCATTTCTAAGAAATAAAATTCTTGCTTATTATTGGCAATAAATTCTACCGTTCCAGCACCTGTGTAGTTCACTGCTTTTGCTACATTCACGGCTGCTTCGCCCATTTTCTTTCTTACTTCAGGACTTAATAAAGAAGAGGGTGCTTCTTCCACTACTTTTTGGTGTCTGCGTTGTACAGAGCATTCGCGTTCAAATAGATAAACAATATTGCCATGCGTATCGCCCAATACTTGAATTTCTATATGGCGTGGAGAATCGATGAATTTCTCAATAAAAACTGCACCATCACCAAACGCAGAAATAGCTTCAGAAACTGCCATATTCATTTGTTCTTCAAATTCATCTAGTTGATTGACAATGCGCATGCCTTTTCCACCACCACCAGCACTTGCTTTTATTAAAATAGGAAAGCCTATTGCTGTGGCTAATGTTTTTGCTTTTTCTATATCTGTAATAGCTTCATCCGTTCCTGGTACCAATGGCACATCGTATTGTCCTACTGCTTGTTTGGCGGCCAACTTGCTGCCCATTATTTCTATGGCTTTTGTACTTGGGCCAATAAAAACAATCCCATTGTCGCTGCATGCTTTGGCAAATTGTGCATTTTCTGATAGAAATCCATATCCTGGATGCACAGCATCTACATTTAGTTTTTTACAGACTTCTATTATTTTTTCTATAGATAGATAAGATAATTTAGAAGCGGGCTCACCAATGCAAACTGCTTCGTCTGCAAACCGAACATGTGGTGATTTTCTGTCTGCAGTAGAGTATACAGCTACCGTGCTGATACCCATTTTTTTGCATGTTCTCATCACTCTTAGAGCAATTTCTCCTCTATTGGCTACTAATATTTTTTTCATTAAGGCTAATTTATAAAAATTATAGAATTATCTTTACATCGTTGATGAAAATAAGCATAATTTATATTTTATTAAAAAAAGAATTTTTGTTTGAATGGCGATTTAAATCTTCAATAGGTAGTTTGTTGGTGAATACGTTGGCAACAATATTTTTTATTTATTTAATTTTTAATGGAGAAATTACTTTTCGTGTTTGGCTGGCATTGTTTTGGGTAATCTGTTTGTTTTCAGTCATCCAATCATCTGCAAGAATATTTATGAAAGATGCCAATGAACATTTTTATTATTTAAAAAATATTGCGTCTGCAACAGAAATTATATTGGCAAAAATTATTTACAATACGTTGTTTAATGTTGCTATGTCTTTTTTAACATTATTGATTATGCAATTGTTTTTTACACAAGACATTGGTCATTTAGATATATTTTTATTGACCATTTTTTTAGCTTCATTTGGGTTTTCTGCTATATTTACTTTATTGTCTGGTATTTCTGCTAAAACACAAAATGTCGTTTTGTTGAGTGTTTTAGGTCTACCTATTGTTTTGCCATTAATTCTTATTATTTCAAAAC